AAATCCAACTATTTTGGTATACAAATTATAATATTTGACCGAAAATTGAATAACAGTTTTTTGGAATGTTTTTAGTCAAAATACTAACAACACGTTTAGCGACCAGTAAAATTTTTTTAAAAAGTCTTAAATTTTCATAAAATGCTTATTTTAATGTTGTTTGGTAAAGAACGCCTTTGGCAAAGACCAGTGGACCAGTTGTCACAAACACCGTTGATTATATTATATCGTGTGACAGCTTATCTCTAGCTTCTTTGCTTTACTCTTCCTCTTGCCCACTCATCACGGCAAATCGATGGCTTATGTGTCAATTGTCATCTGTGTAAAGTTCATCGTCGTACATCAGAGAGTCAATTTTTAATGTGTCATCTTTTTTTGTAGCAAGCACCTTTGCTTGAATGGTTCGGCCATCGTTATTTTTATTATTTGTTTATTACACCCTTGTGTTGAAAATTCTCATGTCTTTGCACGCCTCCAGTAATTGGGCCCTGACCATCATGAAATGACTTCACTGCTGTAGTCGCTTTTCCGCCGTCTGTGTTCATTTGCCATTAAGTGCCTGAAACTACACTCTGACTCGCGATACTCAGATTTACGACACCACTATCACAAGATCTCATTCAGCTCACTCATCACTATCAATAACTTTGTCTATTCAGCTGAGTTTTTATATTATTTTTTAATTTCATTTGTTTTAATTGAGTTTAATTATTTATGGCGTTTCGGCGGCCATTAATATTAAAAGAAGGCCTCTGCTACCTCTTGAATTTAAGATGCTCTTTGAAGAACTTCTAATATATGTGGTTATTTGTTATTTAATTATTGTGTACTCTTGTTACTTATTAGATATGCGGCTAGCCGTTATGCTCTCAGGTGACCCCTCTACTGCTTCAATAATAGCGATTTAAACAGGCTTAAGGTAAGATGGTATTCTAGTGCGGTGCACAACTAGCCGTCCTACGGTCCAGTGGCCTCTTACGAAACGCCATGTTTTTGATGACTCGTCAACGTTAGCATAAAACGTGTGTCTATATTTAAAATCAGTTAACGATTAAAACGAAATTAATGTTATGTAATATATGCCAAGTTTAAAATAGCGCCTTTAAACACTATTTAAGTGCCCAGACTAGAACTCTGTGTGGCCCTACTAATGGCTCATTTTTTTCACAAAATATTATCAATAATTCGTTATTACTTTAATTTGGATTACATCTCCGCCAACTAAGAGGATAATATAACTATTGTGGACCATCGCGTAGGAGAAATCAAAATCTTAACAAATCTTTCAGAATGTCGTCATGTGAATCGCGATGGATAATCCTACCCATTATTAACCGGTCGAGAACTACACAGGCAAACTGTTTGACGGACACACTTTTCGAACCACACCTCTTATAACATTTGATATAATTAAAATTTATCTTACCTACATTTTTGATGGGTCGATTATAATTTTAGAAAATTAACTTAATAAGTTACAAGCATTTTAATATACAGGGTGTTCAGTAAGTCAGGAAACGGGTTTCTATTGTTCTCATTGTTACAAACAATGAGAACAATAGAAACCCGTTTCCTGACTTATTGAACACTCTGTATAGAGTGGGTATGTAGCCTGAGTGGAAAAAATTCATAATGGTGTATACCTATAATCATAGTCCACTCTATATATATTTTTTGTCATTATTTAAAAAAAATCATCTCTGTTAAATTTTATATAAATTTTCAATTTATTAAATTATGGTGGTGACTCATTGTCTATTCAATATATTTCTATAATTGTTTTTTAACTTGTGTGCAATTTTTTATTCATACTTTATTGGTTGATATCATTCATGGATAATCTTATTTATTGAGTAAAAATATGATATATGATGAATTTTATCTCGTAAATTAATCATTATTCTTTCTTTTTATTTTTGTCCTCTTTTTTTGGTCTTCCTCTACGTATAGTTCCCATAATAAATTAACGGCGATTATAATAAAAAACACATTTTTTTCGTAAATACAGCCAACATTAAAGTCGAAAGTTACTTATTACTTCCTTTGATATGATAAAAATTTTACCTAAGTTTTTCACCTTGTTTTGTTGTAATAAAACAATCTCACATTTATTATAATGTCATTTTATTATTAAGTTTTATCGTTCATAAATATTAATAAATTCTTAATCAAAATATTAATCCAATAATTATATTATAAAAAATAGAAATTATTTCTTTATGTAATCGTTGGGTCTAGGGATGATAGTTTTAACTGCTTAAGATGCCACCGCTGAGTCGTCTCCTGTTACCTACTGAGGTCATCCTGTGTAATGATATCTGGATTCACTGGTGGTTAGAGGGGTTGCTTGTGTAAGGTCAGTGATCTATGTGGTGCTAAATGTGTATAGTGTGTAGAAATTAGGTTTGTGTGTAGTACTTGAAAACTAAACAAATAAGTAATTACTGAAAGTCTATATAATAATAATAAATAATATTTTCAATAAATAATTAAACAAAAATAATTATCACTAATTAATATATAATGTTAGCTCCCTTGGCGCGTTAAAAATTGTAAAATAAAATATAATTAAGTAACACTACTGGCTCAACAGCTTTAATAAAAAATGAATTAAAAAAATAATCTTTTTAAAACTCAACAACAGTAATAATATAATTAGCACTCTTGCCACAATCATTAACTTAAAACTAAACTGAAACTAATGGGCGATAGACCAGGGGTTACTGGTGTATGAGTTATAAAACTATTTGAGGTAACTATATAAATACTAGATTATGTTAAATTAAGAAGTAAACCCTTTGTTTACTTTAGCACTTATGTATGGAATTCTATTCGTTAAATAAAATTTAAGTAATTAGGCAAATATAAATTTACTAAATAACTAAATAATGACAATAATATTACAAATGATTCACAAACAAATCGGACAAGACTCTTATTGTCAACTACAGATTTGTTGTATAACTATATATATATATATATATATATATTAATATAACTATATTAAATATAAAAATAAAATGATAAATTCTATATAAAACACTCTATACTTACAGTGGATTGGATATTGTAAAACTGTCGAGGTGCTTATTATAGTTAATACATAAAATTACAATAATACAGCTAGACTACAACAAAACACTGCTCAATAATAGAAAATCACAATTTAGACTTGAAGGATTACAATTATATAGACTCCTATGACTACTATAAAACTAAAACTTTATAGAAAAAATAATTTAATATTTAGTGTCTGGTAATTAATTTCTACTAACTAAATAACATTAAAAATTACAGTGTTACATATGTTGTGCATGTGTTTAATAGATTGTCTATTGGTGACAAACGCGGTAGCAGATAGTAACTATTAAGTTAAGCAATTGCGATAACGGTGCAGATGCAATAATAATTTTTGTAAATAAATAAGTTTAAATAAATAAGCTTATATAAATTAAATAAATATATAAAAAAGTTTTTTAACCCTGTGATTCCAAATTCTTCAACTTTTCAGTTACATTTTCAGTCAATTTTTTTTTCTTTTTCGTTTAGCTTTAATCATTTTCCTTTTAAACTTTGTTTTGCGGCGAGTAGATCTAGCCAACTGAGATGTACAATTCTTCTCTTTTTTGGGAAAGATATCTCTAGCTATAGAAGTCCCACGATCAATTCCCAAAGGTTTATCACCACCAACCAAAACTTTAGGCACCTAATTCGTAACCTTTTCATTAGTATCATTTTCATTAATTATTAGTGATGACTTAAGATTTTCTATGTCACGCAAACAATCTTATATTTTGTTTTGTGATTTTGATAATACTCCTTTTAAAACCCTTGCTTGTTTCTTGGCTGCTTAACGGTCATAATAGTTCTTGCAATTTTTTTTACATTTCTTGATTATGTGGTCATGTACTTCTACGTTTATCGTATCACATCTCTTATTTTTTCTGATAATCTTATTAAAAATTTTCTTTAAGAACTTCATACTGCTATATTATTTTCATTATTTAATTTTGTAATAGATCACGACATTCAGAAATGTTTAAGACTTATTAACTTTAACACTTAAAGTAGATTTCACGATGTATTATTTCACAGTAACTAGTTATTGTTGCTAAACAATAAAATTGATTAGATATTAAATTTACATATAATTATTTTTAAATATATTTCTATTTATATATTTTAATATAAAACATTTTATAGATTATGGAATAATGAATTTTGCCCATTCGTATTTTTTTATTTCTGTTACACCTTATTTATTCAAAAGAAATTAGGGATCTCCTTATTTTTTATATGTATCTTTAAACCACCCCGGGGATCTAGTCGTAAAGCATTACTTACAACATAGTGACCTAATACGTAATAAGATATGATGTTTACAAAGAATATTCATAAATGTGTATGTACAATGAAATAAACTCTAAAATAACTCCCTGTAATGCTGTACGGTATATATATATTAAATATTATATATTTAAAAATTTATCATTGTTTATAGTCAGCCCCAGTGATAGTGCAATGGAGTGGAAAAAATGCTCTAGAGCCGCTCTTTTTTAGTTAGCCGTTCGGTAAATAAACTATTATAAAATATACAGGATTGTTAGAAACATGTTATTAAAAAAACCTGTTCAAAATATAAGTAAACATTTAAAAATGAATCAGAAATCCGTAAGACCAATGTAAATTTTGAAATTGTTAACAACCATGTTAATATATATTCATGAATTATAATAAAATATAATTTATATGAATTGATTATGATTTTTACTCAAAAAGGTCCTTGTTTTCTTAAAGGAGTCTTGATAAATTTCGATTTTGTTTATTATTTTAAACTTAATTATGTAAAGTTAAATTTACTGTAAATATATTATACTATTAAATTAACAAAATGAAGTTTTTAGGGATTTTACTTCAATTAATTAATTTGCATATTAATCGACTAATAAAATTAGTTATTTAAGTTTTAATTATGAATCTATTTTTTAAATTTTTTTCAGCGCACAAACATAGTCATGGAATGCCCGATAGTCATAACCATCACGATCACCACCACCTAATGGATCACGATCATTCGTCTCATGTACACGATCATTCGTCTCACTCGCACGAACATTAGATTACCTAATAGTCCAAGTTACCAAGCCCATCGTGATCTATATTTAATTATAAATTACTTATTATTGTGTGTATTAATTTGATAGTATTTAAAGTGTTAAGTTAATCTAAGATATTGTCATTATTTATATTCCTGTAAAGACGATCTATGTTAACATTATCAGTTAATTATTCGCTATGATAGTATTTTTTTTTTTATGATTTTTATAAATAAACGAATGAAAAATGTTAAAGCTGATGTTATTAATAAGCTTCAAAATTTGCTTTTTCTTTTTAGTCATATTCGAAGATCAGTAAGTATAATTTTATCACACATGATGTATAGTTTGGTAGATATTACTCAACAGTGCACCAAAAAATCTATAATATTAAAAAAAAATTAACGTACAAAATGTTTTTTGATGATAGATATGTGTGTTATTAGTTTTTGTATTAGATTAAATNTGTACAAAATTTTTAACACAAAAATCACATTTTTTTAAAAATGACTATGACTATGTATATAATATTAATTGAGTTTTTAAAAAAAGTAATATCAATAGAACGCACCGTCTGTAAATTATTGATTTTGAATTTTATGTTATTCGATTAGTCTTTTCAAGTAAATCTTACTAATATTTCAAATTTTGTTAAAAACACTGATTATATATAGGTCAGTATACATCAAACACTTTTAATTAAACACCATTAAGTAATTAATAAATAATGGATACCAGGTTAGTTCACAAAAATTTATATGTAAAATCCATTAAAAGAGCAATCAACAGCAATAAGTAATTTTAATTAATATGAAACTACCAAATATCAAATACATTTTATTAACACAAATTAAGCCTGTTAAGCTTTTTAAATGCAAATAAATAATTAAATACAAACAATTGACTAAAATAAAGGTATTTTTTTGGTGTAAATAAGTTGATTAAAATCAAAATAGCTGTATAAAACGATGAGCTGAACACTATATTGCGCCCGATGTACCGGAATCAAAAAATAATCTATGAATGGATTAAACATTTTTTGATGATAGATATGTGTGCTATTAGTTTTTGTATTAGATTAAATGAAATATTTAATGTGTGACCCAATTAAGTGTACTTGGGGTTGGGTTATATCATCATGATTACTTTTTGGTATCGATATTGGCATTCGATATTTTACTAGTCACAGAAAAAAATATTGTATTGAAACATGATCAATTATATGTAAAAACAGTCGTAGAAAGTAATCTCACAAAAAATTTAGTAGTATTTTGTATTGTATTTAACAACATGAATATTTGAAAATAATATACAACTTGATCGTGTGAACTGAACTTTATATTTTTTNAATATTTGAAAATAATATACAACTTGATCGTGTGAACTGAACTTTATATTTTTTAATTAGAAAATAGAAACAAAATTTTACGAAAAAAACTCGAACTTATCCTATTTAGTGTACAAAATTAGCGCAAGCCAGTAGACATGATAGTAGATACGGCCGTGTCTACTTAATAGTTAATTGGTTTATACTTATACATCAATTTGCATAATTAAAATAGTTATTTTTAGTTGTATACATAGTCGTAAAAAAAATTCCTGTGTTCTTCCCATTCAAAATTAAAAAATTATATGTATTTTTATGCTAAAAAAATGTGTTCATAAATGTACGCCTATGCTTGTATATCATTAACAATAAAAATTTAAAATTTTCAATAGTTTTCAAAAATTTGACTGTCTTATACATCGTTAATCGATCGCTCTGTATATATTCGAAATGAGTGTTTTAATAGTAGTCACTTGATATCTTTCAAAATTATAATTATATCAAGAAAATTCTTTTTAGTATTTTTAAATTTTGTATATTTCTCAATTTATTAATATTTAAATATTTTTTTAATTCATCACATATTTTATTATAGTAAAATATGTATGTTGTCACTAAAAAAATTAAGTCGGTACCTTAGTAAGGTATAAGGTATGAATTTAAATAATAATTAATTATAAGTAAATCAATAAATATATAAAATTTTAAAATACCAATGACAATTTTCTTATTATTTTAAAAGAAATCGAGTAGCTAATATGAAAATAATCATTCTGTATATACTTATATAAAAAATATTTATTCCCTGAAGTAGTTGGTATTTTTATAAGAATAATTTCATAATAATTTGAACATTTTAAATTAGTTACAAATTTAAATTTAAATTGTATTTTCCATATTATTTAATTGGGAATAAAAAAGCTCTTAAATAATATTTTAGGGTCGATTAAAAAAACTCAAATTTGACTGACTACTTTTTTCTATAGTGGACTCTTGATTTATAAAAAAACAAAATTTTTTTAATTAACCTAATTTACACATAGCTGTGCTACAATTAGAGGTGCTTCAGCTCCAGTAATTATGCCAGTTTTCCTAGTGCCAAATAAAACTTACTTTATGATGTAAATTTGAAATTGTTGTTTAATATTCGTTAAAAAAATAATGAAATAAAAATGGAATATTTAATATATTTAATTTTAATTCATATATATAATATTATTTAATCACTTATAATATTAGAATGTTATCTTTTATACATGTATGTCACATATTATGAATTTACATAATCATCAAAAGGTGTTCCATTCATTAAAACACAAAATAACCAGTTAACTAGGGAATTAAATCTGGTTATTATACAGATTTAAAGTAATGCTTACATGTGGATTCTCAATTAAGTCCAGCCAGTTGAATTTAACAATTAAGATATACAGCTTCTAAGATCATATTAGGTATTGTAGCGACTCTTAGTGTGATTTAGGTCCTCATCTGACTATAAAAACCTATTTTTTCCTATTAAAATCAGTTCTTTTGATAATATAAAAATACACAAAATCTGCGTCACTATTCAAGGATTCTCACTGTTTGGGACTTGGGGTTTTTTTTTTATCTAATTTGGACTTCGAGTATTTTTCAATTTCTTTCTCAAAAAAAAANCAAGGATTCTCACTGTTTGGGACTTGGGGTTTTTTTTTTATCTAATTTGGACTTCGAGTATTTTTCAATTTCTTTCTCAAAAAAAAAAAAATGGATTTTTATTCAACAAAAATGAAATAAGAGTGCATTATTAAAGTTATAGTTAGAATCTTTTACATATTATAAAAGTATAATAATCTCTCTATAAAAATATTTGTAATAAATACAAAGTAAATTGGGGTTTTCTCAATTGAGTATTATTTTATACTGGGTCAATAATTGGAACTGGACAAGTCCAGAGTAGCAGAGAAACACCTTTTTCTACTCCTATACATTTAAACCAGGTAGTACTTTACTATCTGTCCTTAATTATCTTCAGCTTCTCTTAAAAGTAATAAAAATTATAAGAAATTAAATATTTAATCGTATATTTTTTTTTTTAGCATTGAAACAAAATTAACATCAACAAAATAATAATTATGTTGTTTTAATATATATTCTATGACCTATAAAATACAATATATTTTTGAAAATCATTAAATATATTATTATTTCACACTCAATAGATATTTGTCAACAGCATTATCATATTAATTTAAAATATTATCCTGCACTATAATTTTTTATCCAAAAAATATGGCTGTCCATTATTTGCTAATCGTTTGGTTAATACTTCCACGCCAGTATCAGTTACTAGCAAAGTTTCTTCAAACTGAGCTGATAGTTGTCCATCTACTGTAACAGCTGTCCAATTGTCTGGCCAACACTTATCCCTCCAACTACCTAAAATAAAAATATAATTATTGTTATATTTTAAGTAGAAAAAATTATTATATTATCTAAATTACCCTGTGNTCCCCCCCTGTAGGCAGGTAAAAAGTCAGATTTATAAAAAAAATATACCAAATGATAGGTAAAGACATCAAGCATCTACAAGAAAAAGAATTATATTGCATATCCATACATTTTTCAAAAAGTTATAGCATTATAAAGTTAAAAATATAAAAAAGAATTTTTTTACAAAAATCGTATTTTTTTTATTAAGTTTAATGTCTGTTTTCACCATGAAGATAAAATAAAGTCCGAAATTTTTTTTTACCATTATAAAGTATATTACATTAGCTTTAATTTAAGATATATATAAAAGTGTCAGACCTTCCGGAACACTTTCAAAAGTTACGTTGAAAAAGTTCTACTTTCTATATGCATTTTTATGTTTTGAATCCCCCCTGTATTTAGGGAAATGGTCCGATTTAAAAAAACAGTATGTCGAATGAAAGATCTATATAAATACTACTTCTCATAAAAAAATTGTAATGATTCATACATTTTTCAAAAAGTTATAGCATAATAAAGTTAAAAATGGAAAATACAAAATCGAAAATTTTCACACAAAAATAGCATTCGGTAGCCATTTTCACCATGAAGATAAGATAAAGTCCGAAATTTTTTTTTTTCATGATAAAGCATATTACATTAGCTTTAATTTAAGATATATATAAAAGTGTCAGACCTTCCGGAACATTTTCAAAAGTTAAGTTGAAAAAATTAATTTATTGTAAAAAAGTTGTCATTTTAAATTCCCCCCTGTGGAGAGTTATAGGGTCAGATATAAAAAAAAATTTACCAAATGAAAGGTAATGATATTATGCATCTATATAAAAAAAAAATATATTGATATGTTCAATTTTAAAAAAGTTATAGCAGTTTTTAGTAAAAAAAATTGAAAAAATTTCGAAAATTAGCCATTTTTAAATTTGTAATTTTTTTGGAGGTTTCCCCCATTTACGAGGAACGAGGGAATTTTTTTCAATTTTTGAGGGTAACGTCTTCGACTAGATACGATTTGTGATCTTTTGACGTATCATTGAAAGAAATCGGTTCGGTGAGAGCTGAGAAAAAGTGGTAACAGACACAAAAAAAAAACACATCTTAGTAAAACCAATACCTTCTCAGCTTCGCATCGAAGCTAAAATGGATTCTTATTCAACAAAAATGAAATAAGAGTACATTATTAAAGATATAGTTACAATCTTTTACATATTATAAAAGCATAATAATCTCTCTTAATAAATACAAAGTAAATTGGGGTTTTCTCAATTGAGTATTATTTTATACTGGGTCAATATTTGGAACTGGACAAGTCCAGAGTAGCAGAGAAACAACTTTTTCTACTCCTATAGATTTAAACCAGGTAGTACTTTACTATCTGTCCTTAATTATCTTCAACTTCTCTTAAAAGTAATAAAAATTACAAGAAATTAAATATTTAATCATGTATTTTTTTTTTTATCATTGAAACAAAATTAACATCAACAAAATAATAATTATGTTGTTTTAATATATATTCTATGACCTATAAAATACAATATATTTTTGAAAATCATTAAATATATTATTATTTCACACTCAATAGATATTTGTCAACAGCATTATCATATTAATTTAAAATATTATCCTGCACTATAATTTTTTATCCAAAAAATATGGCTGTCCATTATTTGCTAATCGTTTGGTTAATACTTCCACGCCAGTATCAGTTACTAGCAAAGTTTCTTCAAACTGAGCTGATAGTTGTCCATCTACTGTAACAGCTGTCCAATTGTCTGGCCAACACTTATCCCTCCAACTACCTAAAATAAAAATATAATTATTGTTATATTTTAAGTAGAAAAAATTATTATATTATCTAAATTACCCTGTGAAATCATAGGTTCTATTGTAAATGTATGACCAGGTTTCATTACACCAACAGCTTTGTTTTCTAAAAAAAAGATTGTTTTTGAAAAAATACATAACTATTATAGACAAAAATTACTGGCATAATGAGGAACTCCTGGAGAGGTATGAAATAGTTGATGTATTCCATGACCACAATAGCTTTTTACTACTGAAAATCCATTAGCTTGAGCATGTTTTTGTATAATATTTCCAAGTTCCCTATATTTTTCTCCTGGCTGAACTATTTGGTAAAAAAAGAATTACATTAATCATAAATTTGAACACTCAAAATTTAACCTTATATGTTACCTGCATTTATAGCCTTTTCTAAGCATTCCCAAGTAACATTGACTAGTTTTTCTGCTGTCTTAGATACATTTCCAATTAGAAATGTATCATTTAAATCACCATGATAACCACGATGATAAACAGTGACATCAACTATAATAATAATGTTATATTATAAGCAATCATGATTTATGTAGAACTTTTATAATAGTTATTCATTATAAAAGGATTAATGAATAATTTTAATGGACTATTATTTCATTATGTTACTCATTGATAAATAAATATTAAGTTTATTCTATAATCATTTAATAAATATTAAACCTATTAATGTATTATTTCATTAAAAAATTAATTTATTTAATACATGTCATGTCAAATAATAAATACAGTTAAGACATTTTAATTCTATATTTCTATTGTAAAAAAAAAAAAAATTATTTTTAAAAACTTCAATGGAAAATGTCATGAAGCATTTAAAGCAATATTTCAGAATTGAAAATTTCAAACCTTTAAAGCCAAAATTAAACCCTTAATTTTACTATATCAGGTTTCTACAATTTTTTAAATAATGATAAAAAAAATTTAGATTCAAATTTGTTAGAAAACTGTGTGGTAATCTGCACAATTGATTGAAAAAAATAATGAAGTGATTCCTTAGCTCTGCTTCAAGTTATATTTTTATTAGTAAAGAGTAAAATAAAATATTCTTTGAAGATGTAGACATAAGGGATGAATATAAAAATATTTCACCGTTAATAAATTCATTTGTATTACTCAAATTAAATAAAACAAAAAGTAAAAAAAAATGACTAGTAAGTATGAAAATTTTTAACTTAAAACCAACCATTGCAAATATCACCATCAGCTAGAGGTCTCATATCCGGTATTCCATGGCAAATAACTTCATTAACAGAAGTACAACATGACTTTGGATATTTATAATAATTCAGTGGTGATGGATAACATTCACGTACAACACACGCTTCATGAACAATTCTATCTATTTCATCAGTTAAAACCCCAATTCCAATAATAGAAGCAACTTCATCTAAAACTTCACGGCCAAGCTACAAAATTGATTAATTAAAATGCATAGTTATTTTAACATCAATAACAAATTTTGTGATAAGCTACTAACAAATTAGACAAAATATAATTTAAATTGAATTTTATAATGAATTCAAAATTTAAGCTAATATTTTAAGTATAAATTATTCATATCTAAAAATCATTATTAAATAAAAAAATAAATGAATTCAATTAATGTTTTACAGGAAAAATTATTAAAAAAGGATTAGGTTGTTAATAAAAATTAAATGTTTTATTAGTAATTAAATAGCCTATTCAACAAAAACAAATATAAATAATAAATTGGATGAAATTTACCTAATACGTAAAAGTTTTTTTTTCTAAGTTGTCATGATTAAGTAATATAATTAGCTTTTGGAATAATAATAATATTATATTTAACATGTTTTTAATTTAAAAAGTTTCAATACATAGTATTATTATAACTCAATAATTATATATTTTTTATTACTACTGTTATTATTTTGAAAGATGAGTTTGTAGAAATGGAACAACAAGTTCAGAGGATAAATGATAATTAATTCAAAGATGGTTGGATGTAGAGATTGACACCAACACAATGTGTATTTAACTTGTTATATACTTATTTAATAAATAATATACTTAATAAACAAAAAATTAATAGAGCAAAAGCTATACAATTAAGTTTTTTGATAAGGCAAAAACAAGTATTAATTGTATGTAATTACAATAAATAGGATATTATAAGTTATATATATTTTGAGGTATATTTAATTCTAAACAAAACATCATGTTATTATATTGGCATATCAAACTCTGCTTAAACTTTTCAAATGTTATTCATATTTCTTGATTTATTAATATAAAATATTATAAATGACTTTTTTCAAATGTAATTAATAGGAAAATATTAACTTAAACTTAAAAATATTAATTACTAGCTAATGATTTGTTATTACCTTACAAGCAACTCTCATTTCTTCTATTTCTTCATCATTTAATACTTTAATATGAGAAGCAAGTTTAACCTGTTGTTCACTAATAGGAATACCCTCTGGATGATCAGCATAATCAGGTCTTGGTATATGATCAGGAACAGTTCGCGGTGAAGATGTTTTATAAGGACGTAAACTACCTAGAATAAATCTTCTAATGTAATTAATGCTGCTAATTCTTAGTAATTTTCTTAATACTAAATTGTACACAAACTTATTTTTACTGTGCATAGTTTTTAAGTACTTAACATGTGTTTATTAATTAAAGGTACTCTCTATCAATTTCAAGTATAGAACAAGAGTAACGAATCAAATAGTTAGGAAACATACTTACGTATGAAAATTAATCAAATTTTATTAAAATAAAATGAGAAAAAATATATTATTTTGTGTTAAATATTTTTTTATAACTTTAAAAATGTAATATTAGACATCACTAAATAAAATATATTACCTGTAAATGTATAGTCAGGCCATGGATTAAAAACTTCATCTGTACCATTTGTAACACCAGATTTACCCTCTGAAAATTATTTATTTTTTATTAAATTTCTAACAACTTCATTTTGAAATTGCCTAAAATAACTTACGTGCTACTTTATGAAGAATTTTGTGAGTTGGCCAACTATTTTTGAAACATTGCTAAAAAGAAAAATAAGAATAAGAACAAATAAAATAAATACAAATAAAAATTATTATTTATTCCTCAAATTATTTAGTAATTAATTTAAAAACATTTTAATATTTTGTTTGTTTTTAACTATATTAGAAAATGATTTATGGAATATAAAAATATAGAATAAAAATAGAAAAGTTTATATTTCTTGTAAACCAATAATATTTTACATATTTATAGACATATTAATTTTGGATATCATTTTATAGTATTTCAACATTTTCAATCAATATTAACACTAAAAAGCAATAAAAATGTAAGAGTGATCTCCTGAAAAATAAATCATTTTTTCTCATACCAGTATTTTTTTAGAGTACTAAATAAAATTCATAAAAATTATGATAGTACTTGTCAACTGATATTTTGATTGTAATGCCCCAATAGCATTTTGCTAATAATGATATAAGCAAATTTATTTTATAAGTAAAATATAACAATTATTTACTATAAGTAATATCTTGAATAAAAATTATTAAAAAAAAAATTAATACATTTTATCTTAATTTTTTTTTAATTAAGTGTAGCTTTTATATTATAATTTTGTCCAATCAACAACAAATGTTTATTTAAATTATAATTATAATAATATAATTATATGGCAATATGTTTTATTTATTCAATAATTAGAATATTATAAAAGTAAAATTTAATATATATTAGTTTTAATTATCTATATTTTATAAAAAAATATAATTTATTATCTTTATTAAACTAGAAAATGAAAAAATAAATTTTTTTGTACTACAAGAGATGAAAATAAAAATAATTTTAAGGTGAAAGAGTATAATTATTTTTAATAATTTTTATATTTATGAAACAACTAACTTGATTACAGAAGTAAGATCCAGAAATTCCAAGTTTAATGCACGTGGGGCATTGCAAATTTGCTTGAGCATTACAGCCTGCAGTTTCACATGTTCGATTAGCCATTAATTCTGACATTTCGACTAGAAACAGATTTTTGTCTCCAAAAAATATAAGTGAATTTTAAAATATTATAGTTTAAAAATTAATAACTATAAAACCATATTTTCAATTATTTAATAGGGCACACTATTTCAAAATAGAAGCAATATGTACAGAATGTTTGGGTTTTAATAAATGATAAGTTTTATCTCAGCGATATTATTAGTTACCTGTTTACATAATACCAGCTGACTACTTTCAAATAGTTCATAGTTCGATTATCTCTAGATATATACTAATTGTTATCTAAGGAGTAATTTAATGTTGATAATTTTATGAATTATTGAAAAGTGAAAGCAACGTTTAATTTTTATGTTCTTTGTTCTCTAAAAATTATATCCTTAACTTGTATTGAATAATTACTTAGTAACCAATACGTGCAAAACAATTGTAAAAAATGACTTTATTTTTTGGACTTGGAAGGAATGTCGTGTACGGATTAAATAGCATTACAAGAAGATATTCATCTTTAAACAACTCTGTGACCTCAAGTCCTAATAATTCTACCACTCCAAGCGAACAAGCTTCTTTTGAAACTAGTAAATTAACATGTTTGATTTTATATTAGTAAATTATGGAAATATTACATATCTAAATTCAACTTTTATTTAAAACAAAATTTATAGTATTATAAAAATATAATAAAGAATGTTTATTAATCAATAAATGTGTTAATAGAAGCAAGTTATCCACTCACCAAGTCTAAGAAAATTCTATGTGTTTGGGCAAAGAAATATCCATCTGTGAAAGAGATACCTGATAAAATTCCGTAAACTTTTAATTAATAAATTAATTAAAAAATTATTTATTAAGTTTTTCTAATGATATTCTCATATTTAAGTGCAAAGGTAGTCAAATAACATGTAATTAATTTTTTTGTTAATATATATTTTACTAAAATTCAGTAGCTCATAGTTTCATTTCTTTCCTGTTGTCAGAGTTAGATGTATACTGAGAGGTACAAAAATTGTAAAAGCCTTTAAAAAAAATTTGTATTGCTCCAAATAAAGAAATTTTTTTTTTTTTATACATACCCGCGGCAACATAGGCCATTGGGTAAACAATTACAGTTTTGGTATTTTACAATTTATTACTAATATTTAATACATGAATTATTACGATAAATTTAACGGGATTTGTATTTTATATTTTGGTTTGCAATTCAGACATTCTTATAAATTTTAGAGTGGCTTCAATTACTTTAGTTACTAGTCCAAGAAACTCTAAAATATTTTTGGTAATCCAGCCTGTCTTCTGCTTTCCATGAAATTGATGCGTTCTGACATTATGTGTTTAATTGTAAGTCATGTATTACAGGATTCATAGTTTGGAGGGTCTTTTTTGGTCATAAGATAACTATGGGTAATATATGTGTGACTGTTATTGCTGATGGGTATGTTATTGTATTCTTTGCTGCTTGATTTACTAGTTCATTTTCTTTAATATTTGAATGACCTGGGATCCAGCATAATTGAATATAACATCCATTTTCATTGGCATATTGAAAACTATTTTGTACTTTGACATTTATATCATTCGTGTCGCATGTATTTTTAATTTTATTTATTACCCTAAGAGAGTCTAAAAAAATAATTGCTTTAGGTATTTATGACTCTATTATTAAGTTAATGGCTTGAAGTATTGCACATGATTCTGCTGTAAAGATTGAACATGTACTAGGGAGTTAGAACACTTTGTTAGTATTATTCCAGATTACTGCTGCTCCTACTCCGTTTTAGTTTTTGGACGTGTCAGTATATATATTTTCTCCTTTATCTTCTTCTATATAAGCAATCCATGCTATGAAGAATTTGTACATAATTTTATTTTAATGTTTTTTTTTGTTAGTTGAATCTTTTTTATCTAATACTAGTTCTATAATGATGTTGATTTGTTGAATCCAGGGAGGTATAGTAGACATACTAACAGGAATAATGTTCGAAATTGTAAGATTGTATTTCTCAAGTAGCAATGTAATACTCTTAACTTCAGGTTTGAAATTAAATGTTGCAATAGTTGTAGCAAGTTTTGTCTCATATTTAAGTGCCATTTGATATCTCCTTTGGTTGAGGGGAGGTATTCCTGCCAGGTTCAATAAACTAGGAATAGGACTCTATCGGTATGCACCCATGGCTAATCGAATGCTAGGATTGAAAACTGGATGTGTACCACACATCCAGTTTTCCTATCACTTATTTTTTTATATTCCCATATATACGCTCCATAGTCTAATTTTCATAATATTAAAGATTTGTATATTTGTATGAGTGAATTTGTTTTGGATCCCCATGTTGTGTGAAATAGCACTTTGATTAAGTTTAAAAGAGGATTAATAGAATTTTTTAACTGATTAATATGGTCGACCCAAGAAAGAATTGTGTCTAAGATTATTCCGAGAATTTTAATTGTTTTTTTTTCTTTATGGGAGTTTGATTCATTTATAGTTTAACTCCTTATTATTTGATGTTTTAGAAAATTCAATAATTTCAATGAAGAAAAATTAAAACCTGACTTTTTTGACCATTCTACAAGTTTGTCAATTGATTTCTGTAAAAAAAAAATTAATCGTTAATATTAATAATAATAAAAATAAAGAAATTACGAACAAAAAAAAGAGTGAAAATCAAAATTATACAAAACAGATTATTCCATTCATAGTAACTCTCATTGCTCAAAAGACAATTGGGAATGCATTACCAAAAAATAATTCCCTCTTGCTCCATGGCCAGTTGTTAGTCCTTAGTCATTGTTTAAAATAATTTCACTCTTATTACTGTCAGTTTTTATAAATAAGTTTATCAATTAATATCATTTACATGTTGTTTACACTTTTTAATTACAAGAAAATTATTTAATCTTTCAATTTTTGTGATACACTAATCTGTTAAATGAAATTGTAATTTTTTTTTATTAACTTAGGTATGTTTCTACAAATTTTTCTAAAATAATTTACTATTAATGAATTGTCTTATTAATATTTTTTTATAATTTACAATAGTTAAGACTATTATTTAAAATCTTTAAACTTTCTTTATTTTTGTAATCTAAAAACTGCTAAAATATTTAAAAGAATTGTTTTATTTTTTTCAATATTCTAAAATATTATATTTTTATTGATCTTTACCAAAAAAAAAAATTTTCTTGTATAATTAGATTTTATCTAACTAAATTTTAATTATCAAATAAAAAATAAAATTGTTTTTTATAGACTGGAAACATGGAGTAAAGTAAGATCTATTATAAGAATTAAAGTTGCCAATATTACAATGCTCTTAGTACTTGTTGGATGTGTTGCTATGATTGTAAGTGGAAAACGAGCTCGGGAACGTGGAGAAACAATTTCAGATAGAAATCTAGAATGGCATAAAAGATATACTAAGGGTGATGAAGAGGAGATAAAAAATATTGGAGTTTTTGGAAAATAGATTATACATTTTATTACCAGATTTAAACAAAAAAATAATCATAATTTATTAGTTAATATTTTATTTATTAGTCAATCAAAATTAAGTTTTAGTACCTTGTGTAGTTTTTTTTTTTTCAAAAATAATTATCTAAAACTTTAACAATAATTGTGTAAAAACTGAAGATCATTTATTTGTAATTTAGAATTATGATTTGCATTGTAAATAAACTTGTAAATACATTCTGGTAGTTACAATATTAGGTTGATGTAGAATATTTTTATCCATTCTAAAAAATCTTTTGCTACGCCACTGGAAGGGAATCAAAAACATACCAATCATTATTCAGATAAATTTAAGCATATTTATTTGAAGTTATCAGTAACTTTGAAAAATTTCCCTCAATCCCCGTAGTGAAGAGAAATGTACCAAAAAATTATTGTTGTCATGAAACAGGGTTGATATTTTTAGTTATCACTTGAAATAATTCTTAGAAAACCGGAAAGATAATTGAGTCATTATTATTGATAGTTCTTAAGATATTTTAATTGTCAAACATTTTTTTTTTTTAACTAATCATTAATTATTATACTATGGAGGCTTCAAAATCATACAAAATTTCCAAAATACCTGATTTTTCTGAACCTATGTCAAATTAATGTTATTATACTATACAATAAGACAAAAAAGATAAACTATCTGAGTCGGGTTTATGAATATTTTGGGTATATCATGCAATATTCAATAAAATTGAAAGATTTTGTTCTTGTCTTGTTACAAAATACTGGTTTCACTCTAGATTATTTCAAAATATAGCTTGTTGAATGTTATATAAGACTATAAAAAGAAAAACATAACAGGTACTTTACCTTTATGAATAATCATATAATTTTTGGTAGATTTGATTTATAATATGTTATAATCTAAATAATACCATTACTTCAATGCACTTAATTCTGATTGTACTAGTTTTTTATTCTTGAACTAGGATATTTTAAGGAAACTAAGACCTTTTCAGAACCTAAAAAAAGTCATATTAAATTTGAATATTACCAAAGACTGCAGAATTGGCCATGTTTATACTGGGGGCTTTAAAAAAATCATGAGTGACTAATAGGTAATATTTGAGCCTATCAATTTACCTATTTATTTATCCATTAAGTTTCGTTCTCTCATGGCCTACAGTATAATACCATTATCCTAAGAACTAATTAATTTTAACATTTAAGCTATGATTTCATTAAAATATTGGCATAATGAATATAAACAATATAATATGATAAAGATGTATTTTGGAGGAGGTGTAAACAAATTTTTTATGTATATCTCTTCTCAACTTTAACTTAATGTTTACTTCAAGACAAAATCCTAAGATAGTTGCTTATAGTTAAATATGATATATATTTTAGTAACTATACAAAATTTGAATAATAAAATATGGTAGCAATTATTTTTTACCCTTAAACTTTAAAAATCAAGTAAATATTCTTTTATTTCATCAAAAATAATTAAGAAAGTAATATAAAAATAAAATAAAATAAATTACAATAAGAATTATTTTATTATTAAAATTAACAATAATCTATGGGTATTATATTTTTTCAATAATGTATAAACATAATATGTCCATAAGAAGTATTTCATAGCAAATAAAATTCAAAAAATTGATTAAAACTTTTATTTTTCAACAAAAATATAATAAAAACAACATTATATTTGATGCATACATTGTACCATGATTTATTGAATTAAATTTTTGTTTAAATGAGATTAAAGTTATCAATTAACTATTAAGAATTCTATACCGAGGTCAGTATTTCTGACTATCATAAACTTGTCTAACCATAATAATTTAAATATTTGCAATCAAAAATCAGATGTTAGGGTTGCATGAAAAAATTATTTTTTAACATAATTAATTTTTTGTGTGATTAAAAAAAAATACAATTTATTATTTGTAATCATTTCATAGTAAAAAATATCCATAAGCAAAAAACAAATGAGGTTGAGAGGACAATTACCCTACTTACCATACCTTAGTTACATCACTGTAAGCATAAATTGAAAAACAAATTTGGTGCTTAACTGTTTCTCAATATTAAAAAATATTTTACATAAGTGATAGATATAATTTTCTAAATTTGTTTCGTGTCTACAGCAAAAGTTTGTAGGAAGATTTAACTTCTTAACTCTTCGCAATTTATGTCTATAGTTTTTATACAAACAAGATAGTGAATTATGATAAATAATTGATAAAAGTGTGATCTTAATGACTTTCGGTTACTGGATAATGAAAATTGAACACATTCAAGTTTTAAATTGTTATAGAACTAATACCAACGCGAAGGATGTGAAGCGCAATTAATTGGGTGGAATGTATGGGCTCTTGAGGACCTTGTGAAAATAGTTAAATATAAATATTTAATTCAAATCATTAAATAGTAGCAATGAATTTAGTTAGTACTACGCGTTTATGATTTTCATTGTAATGCATAAGCATTATAGTTAATCATTTTACAATAGATTATTTTTTTCTACAATTAAATTTAATCGAGTTGAAACAATTTTTCGGTTTTAGAGTCTTCTATTTAATTTTAAATCGACTAATAACCAAGTTCTGATTTTTATTGTATCATTGGAAGATATCTATGCCAGACGACGCCTGTTATGAACATATANTTGATTTTTATTGTATCATTGTAAGATATCTATGCCAGACGACGCCTGTTATGAACATATAGATTGTAAAGGAGATAATATTAATTTTACCTCTATCTATGTGTTTAAGAGCAATTTAAAGTTAGTGGTTAACGCGGTTGTCTAAGTTCTAACAAAATAAATCTATATCGGTCGAGGGTTGAAAACATATAAAAATAAAGAACTTGAAGTAAATAAACCAAGACAGACTATAAAAATCTGATAAAATCGAAAAAGAAAATTGCTGATGAAACCACGATTATGACGCGACTGACCATAAACATCCCAGAAACTATTAGTAATAGAAACTCTTCCGAAATACTGTAAAATTTGTTAGATGTTTTCAATGAATTTAAATACAGAAGTGTTAATACTATAAATTATTTCCTATAAAAAGTTGAAACCTCAAAATATTCATCAACCGCTATATATGAATAAATTGTTGAGTATATTTTTACTAAACTAAAAACACCAATTAAATTTAGGATAAATCGTCTTATGTATATTTGGTTTACTTAAGAATATTTATATTTCGAGATATTATCACAATTAGTTATAAAATAAATTGACGAATACCATAATAATCGTCTGCAACATCAAAAAAGAATAATTTATACAAATTTTAAGAATAAATACAAGTTTGTGACTTCATTTTTAGAAATAATAATTATTTAAATAAAAGTCAAACTACCTGTTTTTTAATTTTTTTTATGGCATATATTTATTAACTAGGATTAAGTATAAAATACTATAGACTTTTTTGTTGTTGAATGATGCGACAGATAGCTTATAAATTTAATCATCAATTGCCAACGACAAATAATTTATCAAAAACTTGCTTACAAATTAAAATTCTACAAAATTCTGATTGAATGTCAACAGGCCCGGTTTAAAATCCTTGTATGGGTCTATATCGCAACCATAAAAAGGCGACGAGGAAAAATAAACAGAAAAACCGTATGTTATTAATTATGAAGGTTAATAACATTTGTGATAGGTCTTTTAAGCTCGTAAGGCACCAGGGTTTGCCTCCTCCATCTTGACCTGCAATTCGAATTGATATCAAAACCGAAACATTTAGATATTATTTAAATTATGAATAATGAAATTGTTTTCGTTGAAAACAGATGTGTAATTCAAACCAACAACGAATTTGTGAATGTATTAAGCATATTAGTAGCAAATCGTTTCGAATTTGCATTTTAAATTTAAATATTTCTCCGACATTGATAAAACTGAATGTGTTGCAGTCGGTCACACGAAAAAGGATCGTTGTAGACACCTGTGTAAAATATAACACGACCGGTCGATAAGTAACGATAATATTGATTCTAACCATAGTATGAAATACACCGTTACAAACTGCAACAACACTATAATATATTTAAGTCTTAAAAACGTCTAACCCGAGTAATTTTATTTCTTAGGTATCATATTTAAATTTAAACAAATTGTTTTAATTAGAGTAAATTTTTTGTTAAAGTTAACAGTAAATATCTAAAATATTGTGGAAAGTTAAGATATTTTTAAATAAACATTTTTATTACTAATTAAATACTTTAGTTTTGTTAAATTACTGAAAAACAGACAATAGATTTTATTTTTACTGAACAAGTACATTTTACATTTTTAATATTCACATTTGAATGTGGAAAATTGAAAAAGAATAATACGTGATACAAAGCTACAAGGATTTATATAAGAGGTTTAAAAAATCGTTCGACATATAAAAGATTAGATGGAGAAAAACAATTCTACGGCATATATGAGATTATACAGGGTGACCGTTAACCATACCTTACAGTATCCTGAATAGTATAAGATAAATACAGTTTTTTTTTTCAGAAGTCATGTGTCCTACACACTTAAATCAATAGAAATAATATATAACAAAATTCTTGAAATTGTATTATTTTTAGTTTTTTAAATGTAAATATGCATGTTTAACTTGTTTATAAATAAGAAAATTATCTCATTAATAAAATGATTGGTTGACTTTTGAACCAAATTTTTGAAGTTATTAGCATTTTTATACCAGTGGCGGTAGGAATAGTGTGGTCCATAAATACCTAAAGTTAAAAATAAACAGACTTGCTCTTTACCTCCAATCTTTTTATTAAAGTGTTTTAATAACTTAAAAATACTCATTCAAAAGTTGCTATGGACTAGTCATTTTTGTATTTATAAGCCAATTAAATACGTAGGTATGTTTTGATTTAAAAATCTAAAAATGATAAAATTTTAAGGGGAATAAGGAGCTATATTACTTTTGTTGGTTTAAGTTTGTAGGACACTCATAACTTCTGAAGAGTAAAAGTAATAATAACATAATTTTATTATATGTATTTGAGGACATTGTGTGAAATATAGTTGACGAATCACACTGTATAAAATAAAATCTGTGTCATACTTTTAAAAATGGAACCAAGATTTTGAAAATGATTAACTGGCTGTCTAACTGTTAACCAATTTTGTGTTCGCCTTAACGTAAATATTATATTGTGTTTAAGTAAACCCGGAAATTCTGTCGACTTACATATGCGCACACTAAACTAATGAGGTACTGAGTGAATAGATAAATAATTCTGACGCTTACTTTACAAGTTTCTGCTAAATATTTTACTGGAAAATCTTTTACTTTTACATCTATCATATGTATTAATAATCTTTAAGAGCATAGTTTAGCAACTATTCATAAATTTAACACATAAGATAGACAACATTTTTGTAATCTATAAAATAATTAGAAGACGTAATGAAATTTATGGGGGTGTATCTTTGAGTTGAATCTAAAACAATCATCTTAGGAGGTGTCAAATTTTAATCGCAGTAGTGTGATTAAGTAAATAGGAATATTCTATAAACTCAAGATACTAACAATCAAGCACGTGCGAAGCATAACTTGTTATTACACTGCCAATCACGATTATAATACAGAAAACTGAAGTATACAAAGACTTCAAATACATTTTATTTTCTCAGAAAAAATAGACTTGTGTCTACGTCGTGAACTTATGTTATAAAGTATTCAATACAAACCCAAACAATTTCGTTGTAAACTGAATATAAAAAATAATAGTTATATTTATTAAAACTATTTCGTCGCCATTTTATCATATCAAAAATTAATTACTCTAAATCTCTTACCTTAGGAAGCCACATGAATAAAGAAATTATTTTATAAAAATGAAATAAAAGTAGTTAACTTTATATTTAATAGCACTTACTAATTCTTATGGTATTCTTAACAATAATTTACATTCAACAAATATAAAGAACATTTTAAAAACAATTCAAATTTAAAAAAACAATAAAGTAATCATATATTATCTAGGTTGTTTCAACAGCAATCATATTATTTTTATAAGTAATTCTTAACTCTTGTATATCTATAACAACAAGCTAAACTTTTAGTTACACGTTGAAAATTGCTGTTAAATAACAGATTTTCTTTTTTGATTCATGAATATAAAGTACGAAGTCATTCACAGCTACCATTTCTTACGTTAATAATATCATCACTAATGTTAAAAATACATAACTCTGTATTTTGTTGACTGAGTCTAAAAAAAAAACATTTTAAAAATGTTGAATGTAATCACTTTATATATATAGATATATAAATTATATTTTTAATACAGCAACAGTAGCGCAACTAGAATAGCAATTTTGGGAGTTCTATTCAATGAAAGTTGATTATTTCTCCACCATAAATGATATTTTTATGTAACAGTAAATATTATTTTTTTATTTTTTGAGCTGCTATAGTATCCCCTAGTTGAGTCACTGTACATCAATAAAACTATTAGGTTGATTCAAAAATGTTTAAACTTAATAATAAATAAATATAAAATAAACTGAAGTGTATAGCTACACATAATTATAAGTAAATAATTAATTGTTATACTATATATTATATATTATACAGTTTATACAAATAAGCTACATAATTACTTTTTGCTCGTGGCGATGAACTCGGTCCAATAACTTGTGCTAATTTAGGCGGTGCATTGTCAATTAGTTCAATGTCAGACCACGACTTATACAAATCAAATTGAGTTGTTTGGCATCTGATTTTAATTCGTCCGGTCGAAAAAATCATTGGGTCCGCTGTTGTGTGAAGGTATGATCTAGTTATTACTAAATCATCTGGTAGATATTCAATTACTGTTTTTATATGCACTGTTCGTATAGAATCAGCCTATTCAAAATCGAAATATATTAATACAGTGTTAATTAATTGCGATGAAACTGTGAGTTTATTATTTTTTTGCTGTTTACGAAATAAAAAAAATTTGGTTCCATACTTTTCATCAATTTGAACATATAAAAAATGTAATACTAGAGAGCATTTACTTCAGAAAAAGTCTCAATATTTTTTAGATAATTTTTTTAAAATAAAATACAATGTGAACTGAAATTTTATGGGATTATAGATTGGTAAACTAAATATTAAAAACCTCATTTTACTTAAAATAATCAAATAATAATAACAAGAGAATGTAACAATTTAATTCAACGTTATAAAATGTATACAGAAATATTTATTGAAAAACTCATTAAAAATATTTATAATTTTGGTATGTATACATTTTTCTTTTTGGTGACCACTATGGAGTTACTTGTTAATACAAATATAACTCTTATCATTAAATTATTTTTAAACAGATGAAAATTTATTTTTATATATGTTCATAGCTATAGTTAATGAATATATTTTTTAATATATATATATATATAGAGTGTTCAGTAAGTAAGGAAACGGGTTTCTATTTTTCTCATTGTTTGTAACAATTTACTTGTTTCCTTACTTACTGAACATTCTGTATAATATTTTGTTTAGGATGAAATATATTTTACTTTTATACTAGAATTTTAAAAAACGTGTGTGTAGATTTTTCCATATTTTATTACTCATAGAAGGCAGGACCTGATTAAGATCTATATGGATCCGGGTGGTACCTTAAGATGGCTCCCTTATTGAAAATATGGCCATCATAAAAAAAAGTGATGAACAAAAAAAAAATGCTGACACTAATCATGACTACACTAATAAATGTTGGGATGNCTAATCATGACTACACTAATAAATGTTGGGATGAGTCCTTAAGCTTGTGAATTCCAGGGCGTTCGCTTCCCCTTAATCTTGATAGAAGTTATAATATAAAATTTTAGTAAATTTACATTAATCCGATTTTCCACAAATATTTTGGATAAACTTACAAGTAATTTTCTACAAAATCATCTCTACGTTATAATTTTAATCTATAATGACTCAAGATTATAATTTTCTAATTATACTTATTATCTTTCAAAATTTTGCAAATTAATTGAGAAATAATACTATGGTGTATTTTTCTCGATATGGTTTGCATAAAAATAACTATGTTTAATGATTTACTGATAAAAAATTACCGTATGATTGTTTACGAACCACGTAACATTAACG